CCCCAGCTTGAGGTTTTTGCCAAACTCATGGTTTAAATGGCATTTGACTTAATATTATATTGTATATAATTTAGAGGTCTTGCCAATCCTTTATATAAATTTAAAATGTTAAATAGATGAGTCATCTCTAATTGTTCAGCAGGTATACTTGCTATGGAAGAAAAACCATAAAATATTTTTGGATCATTTTGAATCATTGAAGTAGTCAAGAAAACTAAAATATATATAGGAGAGATTAAAGTACTTATGTTAAAACCAGCTTTATTACACAGGTTTAGATCATAGAAAATAGATGTAATATGAAAAGAATAACTTGAAAAACTGGTTAGTTGGACCAGAAATTGTATGCTTAAGTATGAACATTTAATGCAGTTTTAAAAGATACACATTATTACACTCTTAAGTTATAATTTCTTGGAAAAGGGAAGGGAAAAGAATTACTTTTTTGGGCAGGAGGGTACTGAGGATTGAACCCAGAGGCACTTTTATCACTAAGCCACATCCCCAGCCATTTTTATTTTTTATTTTGAGACAGGGTCTCTGTCTCAAATGCTTAGGGCATTACTGAGTTGCTGAGGCTTGTCTAGAACCTGTGAGCCTTCTGCCTCAGCTTCCCAAGGTGTTGGGATTACAGAAGAATTATGTTTTCTACATCAGATAAAGCTATTAGATTTATTAGGTTGCTAATATAGTCAGCTTAAGTTTATCAGATTGCTAATATAGTAGGCAAAAATAAAAAAGTTTAAAAGTTTCTACCTTGTGATTTATTTCTGCAAATCTGTGCTAAGAATGTGATTAGAAGCTGGGTGCTACCAGTGCTCGCCTCTGTTTCTAGCAACTTGGAAGCTCACAGGAGGATCACACGTTTGAGGCCAGGCTTGTTTTAGAAATTTTATCCTCAATCCCCATCCCTGCTTAAAAAAAGAAAAAAAGTCCATTGGATATATACACAGATTGGCGCATAATACATGCAGAATTTGTGACAGGATTATTTGTAAGATTTAAAAATTGGATGCCACAAATAAAGTTTGTTATCAGTAGCAAAAAAACCAAAAGCTTTTTTTTTTGTATGTTCTCAGTGACCATGTATTGCTTATTCAGAGAATTCATAGTTGCACTTTAAAAATATGGAGGTTGCAGCTGGGATTGTGGCTCAGTGGTAAAGCCTTGCCTAGAATGTGTGAGGCTCACTGAGTTTGATTCTCAGCACCATACACAAATAAATAAATAAGGTTGGCCAGGTATGGTGGCTGTGCCACATGCCAATGACGCCAGTGACTGGAGGCTGAGGCAGGAGGATTGTGAGTTTGAGGCCAGCCTCAGGAACTTAGTGAGGCCATGTCTCAAGATAAAAAAATAAAAAGGTTGGTGATGTGGCTCAGTTTATAAAAGCACCTTTGGGTTCAGTGTCTAGTACCAAAAAAAAAAAAAAAGCCAGGCAGTAAGCATTTACTGGCCTTTCTCTGCCTGTCATGCTCCCTGCAGGCACCTGGAAACAACAGATGAGGGTTTGTGGGTGGTGGTGTTTTTTGTTGTTGTTGTTGTTTGTTTGTTTGTTTCATTGCTGGTGTTTAACCCAGGGCCTCTTGCCTGCTAGGTAAGTGCTGTACCACTAAGCTGTACCCCAGCTTTTTATTTTTATTTTGGCACAGAGTCTCACCAAGTTTCCCATTGGTCTTGAGCTTCTGATGGCCTGCCCCAATCTCCTGAGGAGCTGGGTTAGTTGTGTGCTGTGACAACAACTTCAAAGTAGATTAATTCTGTCTGTGGCGGGGGTTGCTTTGGGGGATGTGCCCCAGGGCTTTGTACTGTATCCCCAGCTCTTTTGAGACAGAACCCTAGTAAGTTGCCCAGGGTAGCCTCTAATTTGTAATTCTTTGCCTCGCCCCCTGTCACTGGGATTACAGTTGTGGCCATCATACTTGGCTTCCCACAGGTTAATTCTTCTTTTTCCTTTTTTTGGTGATGGTGCTGGGGATTGAACCCTGGGCCTTGTGCATCTGAGGCAAGCACTCTACCAACTGAGCTATATCCCCAGCTTTCACAGGTTAATTCTCTTTTTTGTTGTTAAATTTTTTTAGTTGTAGATGGACACAATTTCTTTCTTTCTCTCTTTCTCCCTCCCTCCCTCCCTCCACCCCCCTCTGTTTTTCTTTCTTTCGCTGAGGATTGAACCTAGGGTCCCACACCTGCGAGTCAAGTGCTCTACCATTGAGCTACAGCCCTAGCTCTCACAGGTTAATTCATCTTTTTTTCTTTCTAAGTATTTATTTAGTTGTAGATAAATACTCAGTATTATTTTTATGTGGTGCTGAGGATCGAACCCAGTGTCTCACATATGCAAGGCAAGAGCTGTATCACTGAGCTACAGCCCCAGCCCTCACAGGTTAATTCTTAAATGCCACAGACTGATTGTGTTTGGTCAACTTTTTAATAAACTGTTTGAGAGTAGTTGTTGGAAGCTCATATTTCCTGTTCAAGGATTCTGTCAGGAGTCTGAGGCTTTGCTGGCAAGAAAAAAAAGGAGGAGGATGGGGCTGGGGATGTGGCTCAAGCGGTAGCGCGCTTGCCTGGCATGCATGCGGCCCGGGTTCGATCCTCAGCACCACATACCAACAAAGATGTTGTGTCCGC